AGAATTAGACCTTCTTTACTTTTGTTAATGTCTTTTTGGTATTCTTCTTTTATCTTATGAATCTCTAGTAACTTTGTATTTGGTAATAGACATTCTATTTTTTATCTTAGATCTATCTTTCAATTGTTTGCTTTTTTATTAACAATGTCAAAAGAATATATTGCATGTGTAGAATTTTGCTATGATTCATGTCTTTGACACATGTTGAAGCGTTTATGGACTTAATAGAAGAATTGTCAACAAACTAAAAAAATTGATCACAAAAAGATAAGAAGAATAAGTAATCTAGAGCCATGTTGGATAAGGCCAAACTTATGGAAGATGGAACAAATTAATCTTAGTGAAAGTTCATTCTAGATCAAATTTTGCTTTAATTTCTATTAATGCATACTTAAAATTATGATTTTTCATTACTTTTCATTACTTTTTATTACTTTTCTACACACCACTTTCTTTCTTTTTTTTTTGTTTCACAACCTCAACCTCCATACTCTACATACAATTCCAAGAGAAAGAACTAACTAATGAAATTAACCATCAATTTTTTGGAGACTATAAGATTTTTTACTGCTATTTGTGAGTGCTTGTTAGTTCCTTGTAAAATCTAACAATTACATATAATACAACATGCAATAACTAATTTTTAGATTTATCTACTTGGAGTACAATTAATTAAGTAAGAGTAAATGTATAGTATAATAGAAGAGATAGAAGACGAAAAATGGGAGATAACAACAAGAATCAATCCTTCATAGAAAACACCACAAAAATTTAAGGAAGCTCTACTCTCTTCTATATATTTACTTGTTATAGATATAACCAATATCATTAATTATATAAATAAAATAAATAAAATATAAATAAATAAAAATAGGTAAATTTTATAATAACATGTAAAAAAAGCTTCTTAAAAGCTTTACAAACATGGATTTGAATTTATAATCTTTCTTGGTGATAAAAGTGTATTGATGTTTTGATTGTTTATAATTTATATTGTGGACATTATTGCAACATATCTTTAGCACCAAGAATGATTAAAAAGTAATAAAGTAGTCATGATCTATTGTATGAAATCATCACCATAATTTTATTTCTATTTCTTAGTCAAATATGAAAAATGAGGAATTTTTATAAATAAATTGAGAATAAATCATAAAAGAAGTAATTCTACTTAATACCATAAAAAGATATCTACTACTTTGATAAGGTCTCATCTAAATAAAGAGATTCATAAAACACTAATATAGAAAAAATATGCAACATGAATCAACAATTTGTACTAAAAATGCTTGGATTGATATATATATTTGTAGGTATCACCATTAGATTTGCAATTGTCAGCAGAAAGATTATAAGGTTTGAACTTATGGATCTTGAGGTAAGAAAGTATTTTAGAAAATAGAAGGGAGGTTGTAATACATAGAATAAAAAAAGACATACGTCAGCTTAGCTAGAAACATATGATGGTAGATGATAGTTTTTCTTTTTTGATATACTTATTGTTTCTATTGTCATAGAAGTGTTTCTATCTTTTTAAGAGCTGCAATCTTCATTAAGCACTAACTTGGCAATTTGTAGAAATTCAAGTTTGTTTATGTTAAAAAGTTTGAGGTGAGTAAAAAATTCTTATGAAAACATTGATGGAAATTGCATGTGGAGCAAAGAAATTGAGGATTAGGAAGAAAGAATACATGTGGTTTACGGATAAGGTGATGGAAAGAGAAGAAAGAGGGTGGTGTCAAGTATATATGTAGGATTAGAGAAGAATAAGTAGAAGCATGGCCCTTTGATTCTCCAACTTTTGAAAATAAGAAAAGTAATTAAGTATCACAAAGTAATTAATAAAGACTAGAGTAATTAAAATGATGTTTTGGTTATAACATTAATAGTTGAGATAAATACTTTATAGTGTGTAACTCAAGTTTAAGGTAGTTTGTAGTAGCATTAGCAAAAACCATGGTGACATGTTATAGATGGTAGGTTGTAGTGATAATTGCAAAAATTGGGGTGATAATAACAATACCTAATATATATATATATATATATATATATATAAAGAGAGAGAGTTTTGTATGCAAACAAAATTTTAATTACTTTTTTTAAAATAATAAGAGTTAAAACTACGTAAGTTGATATTTTATTTCTTATTTATTATTACTAATTTGAAACAATAAGTTAATTGAAATTATCTTAAGTGCAACCATCAATCAAAATTCAAAATTGTAATATGTTTAATTATTCATTTCCAAATAGAATTAAAATACATATTCCAATTTGCTAAATAAAACAATTTCTAATTATGCAAATTACATTGTTCTATCTAACATTCACATGAGAATAATAATGATTTTTGCATGCACCAGCATTTTTAGGCCCACGAAGTCTAATTATTAAATCATTCTGTAACTTAATTTCCTTCTCATTATTCTGTTTACATTACAATACACTGTATATATCTAAGTGACAACTCTTTTCAATCTCAACCAATCATAGTTCACTGTACACATCTAAATGACAATTATTATTAATCTCAACAATTATTATTAATCTCAACCAATCATACTTCAACTTAACCTAATCTGTAATTGCTTATCTTGGCTTTAAAGTTATCCAACCTATTTCTCCCCTAATGCTCACGAAACAAATGAAAAAACTGAAACCCTAAACCTCGGCATGGTAGCATTGTCGATGTCATGAACGGTCCTGGCAACAAGGGAGTGCGAGACAACATAGGGTTTCGGTGCGATTTCAAACCATGTGCGAGTGATGGAGCACTGCGATGAAGCATTCGTGGGAGTGCCATAGCGAACGTGAAGCGGCGAAATCGATGGAAACGAAACAAAGAATCCGCTCCGCTGGGCCACATCACGTGCGGTGGCTTCAGATGCACTTACAGCTGAGATGATCTGGAAATTCTCATAGAACTCGATGCGCAGATGAGCGAAGGAAACGGAAGATGGAGGAATAATTTATTGTGATCGATCGAAGATGTGCACCTAACTGTTTGCACAATTCGAGGTGTAAATGTTTTCACGACTGAGTATGCTCAGTGAATATTGGAGACTACGGTTCTGAAGCTTGCGAAATTAGGGATGTTTGTTTTCCATAGTTTTCTCTGGCTGTGTTCCGAGGGAAGTGTGATGTAATCTGATGGATGGGGATGGCAATGATGGCTACATTTTGTTGTTGTGATTTCATGTAGTGTCTCTCGTGGCTTTTCCTGATGGTGCCACTATTTATTTCTGTTTGTTTGTTTGTTTGTTTACTCATTTTGTGTTGTAGATATGTTTCATTCATTTCACCTGTCAGCTGCGTCAATCAGCAGAAACTGAACCAATGTTGAATTTCATCTGTAATTGTCCGTGGGCATAGTTCTCAATCGTTGAGAGGATAAGACGTTCCAGGTGTACTTCGCAAAGCCCTCAAAGGTCGGCACGACTTTCAGCTATTGACAGTTCTGGTGAGGCTCTCGTCCACATCCCTTCATGGCTTTCATCGATTAGTCTCTAGCAGCTATGCTTTTGCCGGCACTGGCAAAGTTGTTACCAAGGTTGCTTGGGTTGCATTATAAACTGCTGTGGTGTTGGTCGTGCACACATATACCAGTGTTGAATGCCTGTGCGTAGCTGAAGGATGTGCGGTGCAAAGTCGATTATCTGGCAGCTTAGACTCTGCGTGTTGGAAGATGTCACAACTGGTTTGTGAAATAGTGATTCCACCACCCACCAGATTCGTAAATGGCTGCTGTAGTCGGGGAATTTATTAAGGTTTATAGAAACAGACAAAAATCTATTGCGACCTTAAAGGACTTTTCCAAGTACTCTCTTGGATTTTATGAATGCTTAAGATTCATAACACCGACAGTAAAAGTCCAAATGATCCAGTTGCAGTAATGATCAAAGTCATGAAAGGTAAGATAGTCATTCAACCTGACCATTCAGCCGGACACTGTCACACAGACCGAGAGGAAGGACTTCGCTTCACTTCGTCGTCTCCCAAATCGAATGCAGAGTCCTTCTGCTGGGTCTAGATTCAATCTACAAGGTCTACCTTCAATGTGAGTTGTTACTCCCGCACAAGAACAGGTGTCTGCAGAGGAGGTCGACCGACCATCCTTACTTCTGCTGAGGATCAAGAATGCCCAAGGGAGTCAATAGCATTGCATCGATTCTAAAGCAAGGATATGACTTCTGACTTGGTCAATTCTGGGCCCCACCGTCACTCCAGCTGTCGATAATCGCAGGTCACGCTACAATGAGCAAGTTTATATCTCATTTCGTTCTAAAAAACAGCAGAGACAAAATGACGACAAGGAAAAAATAAGCTCAATTCAGAAGAATTCTAGATAAAGGAAAAGTAACTAGACAAGATAGCAATGTATTGAACATGCAGTTCTATCAATGACTGCACGACAAGCTTGTGGGTGGCCATCTTCTTGTTCTGTTGGGTTCCTGATCATAGTGCAAACCCCAACAAGTGATTTTTAACTCTCCACCAAGATTATCCTGGGCTTCTTCAACTGTGCCAACAATTTCGCGTCATGTGTCTCAACGGAGAAAATGTAACCCCACCTTCAGCACAATAAATACGTTGATGAGGTAGCTACCAAGCGAAATGAAATGCCCTAAGTGTAAGCTATGTAGTTTACTTTTCCGATCTCTCGCTACGGCTAAGAATAGCCTTCGCTAATCAATGTGCTACTTCTAATTCATAAGAAAGTTATCCTCATCCCAGAGCGAAGTGCTTGAACTTGACCGGCTCCCTGTGCCATACTTGTCGCAGCGGCAGAAATTACAGATTTAGTGGAATTCGGGGTAATATTTAGTTGCTCTGCCATGTTCGTGGGCTAAGCAGGGGCCGAATTGAGTGCTGTGGTAGCCAACAACTAATCCAGTTTACTGTTGCTACTATTGTGTCATGCTTAGGATCACCTACTTCCCCGCCCTAATTTAGCCTGGTGATAAAGGCGAGTTTGACATTTTCTAAGGCAGGTCTCATTACCGTTTCATTGTGTTTTATTCTCTGTCACTGCCATGTACTGCGTCGGATCCTTGCGTTGCAGAGATGAGTCAGAGGCGGCTACTATTTTAACGCCTTGATTGGAGCTTGCTTTGGCTCGGATTCATGGTTTTAGTGTGTAGATCGGGGTTGGTTGATTAGATTTGTTGGGGTGGTCTTAGATTATTTCAAAGAGGTGAATTAGCTCGCTAGATTCCTGGAGATGGTTATCATTCAGGGGGCGGTCGGTGTCTGACGTGGACGGGTAGTGCGATTGGATTTTGTGTGGATTTTGGGTGGGCGGCGGTAGTTTCTAGTTTGTTTGCAATGCGGAGATAAAAGAGCGGTGAATTGTATTAGCGAATGCAGAGCCTCTCGTGATTTGGGTTGTCTAGGACGTGTTTTGAAGATGCACTGTTTGGGAAGAATTTAACGTTTTTCATACGTTATCGAGCGATTGTGGAGTGGAAGCTCATCTTGAGGTATATTTTCATTCTAGAATCTTGACTGTGATAAAGGATTTCATTACACGTAGAAATCTTGGAGGGGAATCGGAGGGGCAATCACATTTTGTTTTGTTTCGTTTTGATGTTTTTTGTATTTCCTCGATTTTCCCCGTTTTCTGGGTCAAGAGGGCACGATTCTGTTTCTGCGTTAGTGGTACTGGATCATTTCGTTTTCTGTTCATAGGTTGCGGTCGAGAAGGACACAACTATATCCCCTCAATCAATCCGATTCGTCCTTCAGGACTTATGAGACTGACGGCTTTTCCGATTCTGTTTATTCTTAAAGACCTCTTACACTGGTTGAATCTGTGCTTCAAATATTTGAAATCGATTTCAAGACAGGACGGGTATGTTTGTGTTTAATAAATGTCCTAGACACGAGCGATTCCTTCGGTGCATTTAACTTCAAATCGGTTCAAACTCTTACGAGTGAATGTTTTTGCATGACACCCTAGTTCTCAAAGTTCTTGTCTCTCCTTATGCGCTTTCACTTGTATCCCAGGTGGACTTTATTTTGATATGTGTGAAATGGAAATCAACAACTGGATCCGTGCACTCTGCATAACAGATTATCAGCAAAGAGCCTTCACCAGGAAAAAAAAAAAAAAAAAAAAAAACTAAAACGACCTTATGCCGCATTGTTAAAGGGTTGCCAGCGAACCCAACAGTCTAGCTTCTAGGCGTATTCTGTGCACCACTAAATCAGAGGGCGGCTGGAGTATTGGACTTTTGGTCGAATCGGAGAAGAAGTGTAGGGTGGTTAGAATTCAGGGGGAGCTTTCGATTGTGGTGGAGAGATCATTGAATTTTTGCTCATGGTAACATGTGAAGCAGTTGGGAGAACAGGTCATCTTGTTGATGAGCGGATGGGAGGCCGCACTGTACAGCGGCGTGAACTTGCTCCCTCGTTGTTTAGGAAGAAGCTGACCCAAGAAGTTCAGCGCAAGTTACAGAAGGTGCTGGGAACACATTAATTTTCAGGAGGGTTTAGATTCCAGTCAAGCAATGTTACCCCTAAAACACACGCTGATAATTGAATCCGAATTTAAGCTGATGCATCTCTGGTTTGATTTTATGGCTGTACATCAATGACAGGCACTTGATTTTCCCGCTCAGAGAGGAGAATTACTCCGGCAGCTCTTCACAGATGTTGCCTTGGAAGTGGATGCTCGTGCTCAAGGTAAGAGTAGGGCTTGGTCTCGAGACTTACAGCTGGTGTTTTTTAATCCTAATTCTGCGTGAACGATAAGTCATAATCTTGTTGAAATCATCATTGCATGGCTCCATTGGGCGAATTCGTCACACCGTGTTAATCAAAGTCAGCTTATTCGTTTCGTTGTCGATGTTCTCGCTTCAGAGTATGTTTTATCTGAGTGTGAACTCTAATCATGGATTTTAATCATTTATCACTATACCGAGCAATGATGGGAATGTCCATTTTCGCAGAGAGACTTTATGGCTCCCCACAAGCTGCCGATGGCGTTGAGAACTGTGGTTTTATGACGGCAAACGGCACTTTTCCACGTGTATGCTTCTATGAAGTTTTTGCACAACACTATGCTCAAGTCCCAGAGGATGGGAAGGAAATTCTTCCTTTGTTCTTGCAACTGTGGAGTCAATCCTTTGTCTCTCAAATATTTGCGCTGCTCTTCCATCGTTGGGTAAGGCGATTTAAATTGGATTGCGAAACTTGAATGAATTTGGGGTCTGCTCCTACCTTTGCTTCAGTTTAGTTACCAAAATAACTGGCTCTTTTCGAAGCTTGATGATCTTTAGTAGTGTATTTTTCCACAAAAAATTTCAGTTATTGATCTAGTTCCAACAAAAGAATCCTCATATGACAAAAATTTAGTGGATCCGACAGTTGTTTGAGATTCCAAGACAAGAGTCAGAGGGATCTTTGCGATACTCGACAGCATTTGTCGAAGGCGCGAGCAACATCTTTTGGATTGATTTGCAAAGTAACGTGCGGCGATTTTACTCTATGTTTAATGTAATGTCTTTTTTTTTCTTTACTTTTTTCTGGCGGAAGTATTATACGTCCGACTGAATTTAATCTCTGTTATTGAGTTCTGGTTCTTTACAGAATGTTGAATAGAGGGCTGGTTTTATTTCCTTGGGCTCTTTTTGTGCACTTGGTATGCTTGGATGTGCTTCAGGAACTTCTCTTTCATGTATAAGTTGTGATGAGACAATATTCTGTTCAATTTGTACTTTCTAACCGATCGTCTAATTGCAGTACACGTTTGAGGAGGTTGTCTTAGACAATGGTCGCCTCTCAAGTTTTCCCATTCAGGTGCAGCTTTTGAACCCTTCGGCTTGCTACAGCATAACTTGGACTTGAGTGACTTAAATACTTATTTAGATTGCTTCAAGTGCCCAAGATTTGATTTTCAGTGGCTTTTAGTAGGAGATTATGGAAAGATTTCCCTCTGATGTAGTGCACTTTTTTCTTCTTCCTCTTCTTTTGAATGGCAGGCTCGACAAGATCTTCTTTTGTTGCTTTCTAGATATATGTTATATTATGAACCAGGTATTGGTTGTTTTTTCAAGCAGAAATATGTTAAGTTTACAACGCAATGTTTTGTGGAATTTTTGTTTGTTCTTACAGAAGTTGTTCGAGAAGCCATTGTACAGTAGAACATCACTTGCAACCACTTCTTTAGGTAGTAGATGATGGAAGCTAATTAATGTCTTAGGATGTTTGCAGCCGACAGACTTCGATACTATTTAAAGAACTTCCCCAAGACGGGCAATGTTGTTCTAGAACCAGCAGACATGTTTGTCACGGAGCTGACGGATCAGGTACGTCACTATTGTCTATCAATTTCTAGTGATTTCAGATGATATGTCTGGCATTTAGAAGATATAACACTACGTACTCATAATGTATAGCTGCTCAAGACTTCGTTCTGATACTTCGACATTCTATTTTTTTCATTTTTTTTACGAAACTTTCAGTTGCAAAAGGTGAAGGTGGAGCCTGTGCTGCTTCATTATCTCACGAACATGAAAGCTTTGAAAGGTAATGTGGTAATTGTACTTTTAGATCTTCTCTTGCATCAACTGATGAATCCCAGGTTAGGATTCCATTTTCAAACCACATTACCCTTGGATTCACTGCTTGTATGAAAGCACCTGATAGTGAATACATGTCATGATTTTGAAGGTGTGGAGTTGCGGGCAACTACAAGTACACGATTAAAAACTGCTTTATATTCCTTCACAGCCCCTGGAGGACCTATGTACCCAACTCGACCAGTGCGACATGCTGCGTGGGAAACCCTGGACGTTCTTTTTCCAGTAAGGACGGATTTCCAATTTCTTACAGTTTCTCATTTGAAAGCTGATATGAATAACGTCATACTTTTAAAGGAACCATATATATATTATTTAGTAGCAACTAAGGAAGGGTAACAATTTTTGCATATCGCGCAGGTTGGACGGCACTCAAGGCACCTTATCAGTCTCTTTTTCCGATTGCTTCACCCGTATTACTGGCCAGTATCAGCCTGGAATTTCACAATTACAACAATCAAAGCCATGTATGCAAAGATTATGAAAATGGTATTTGGTTTCTTTGGGTTTATACTGATGATTTTTGAGAAAATCGCGGGTATCCGCCATGTAGTGCATGATTAGCAGCCCGCCAAGTATGGTTTCTTAGCTCATTTTTGGAGTAAAACTGCAATAAGTGATTCATCCTGATTGTTTTTGAATTGCAAACTCGAAAAGGTTTGTCGACTGGTTTTGAATGTCCCGGGAAAGACTCCTCTTGTTCTTGTGCCCCTGTTTTCATACTAAAGTCAAACATTGAGCTTCTCTCTACGTTTTAAAAACATGACAGAGATAGAGGTCGTGCAGCCCGACAGTTCTTTTAGAGGCAATTCGCCGGTGGTTGCGAATTGACTTAGCAACATCTGTCCTACTGTTTACTGCGCTTAGCTTCATTGTCACAGTATATGGCATTGCGTTGAAGCTTTAGATTAGTGTGAAGAACGTGCAGATTTAACTTACGCGCAAGTTTGGAACCAGATGGGCATCTTTCCCATGCAAGGCTGGCCAACCTACGTCTCGTAAGGTAGGCGTTCTGTTATTTGCGGAATATTGTAAGAGCAGTTTTCCTTGCACCCTGAGATCTGACACAACCGATTTGCAAAGCTTCATCTATCCCTGGTATGCAACACACTTTGACAACAGAGATGTCCAGGCTGGGTTGTATTCGCCACTTATTAGCCGCAACCGCATTGTAATTGACTGACTAGAAAAGTCCAGCTCCCTCATCAAGTTGGCTTAGGATGAGCATTCTTGTCAAGCCACCTTAACTCATCTGCATGCAACATTCCCTTTGAAGTCTAGTCTCAATGTCCAGGTAACATGTAGCCGCTAAATGGGCCGATGATGCAGTATTCATATTGATTAATTTCCGAGTTGCTTGTGTTACAATTTTTCGCTCAATCGTGACACTAGTGAGGAATAACTGCCCGTATCGTTCGGCGCCCCATCTTAAAAGGACGTTGCCAGGGCCCATGGTAGCTTCCAAATGGCGCTTTAATCAGAATTATTTCTCCGCCCTAGCTGCGGATTTAAGTTGCACGTTCTCTCTATAAAAAAAACAAGAGTGACTGAACAGTATTGAGGTACGCAAGACATTCAGTAATGGATTCTTATTCTTGGAACAGTGTGAACACTTAGAGAGTAAGGAAATCGAGGACTCGACGCATCGTAGCACAATAGTTTGACAGATAGTGTAAATACCCATATCCGGCATTAAAATTGAACGTAAAGCACTTATGCTCAATGATTCCTTGGACTATTTGAAGGAAGGAGCTTAAACACTTATTATAGAGAGTATATACAAAGATATTCTGGTGAGGATTTCTTGCTCTCATAGTGACAGGGCGAGTCGCCTTCCCAGATTCATTGAAGAGAAAGCTACTGCGGGAGCATGATTCAATGCGAACGAGAGCAGGGGAATCTGCATGCTTCCTCCACAAATGAAGTTTTCACTGTGACAATCACAGTGCCAACTACTGTGCATCTCATAGTCTTCCACTCAATCCACTTATTACCTTAGAATCTCTGCCCTTTACTAAAATTAATACATTCAAAACCAGCATACAGAGCGTTGCAGTTCTCGCAACTTGCACATATCCACACAATTCCGTTCTTAAGACGAGCACTTAATTCGATTCCCATTTATTTCCTACAGCAGCAAAATAAACTCATATCTGACATTTATGCAAGTCAATAAAACATTCGACATTCAGAGGTCTTTCACCAAGTGATGACGAATCGGCACGACAAGCGATAGAGACCTGAACAGACTACAATCGAGTAATAACTGCGACCAAAGAAGGACCAGTACAACACAAGAGATGATTTCAAGGAATGTGAGTCAAGAACATATTGCTTCCATTTGTGAATGACCACTACCATCCATTCTTTCCACGAGAGATTCAAGAACATGCTGAGATACTACAATCCATATCCCAAATCTATCCAAAACTGTGAATATTATCAGAACCTAAGCTTAGAGAAGAACCACCTGTTCTTGCCAGTCTTGAATCTCTCTTCCAAAACTGTCTTCGACGCCTGTCAACATGAACATCGGCCCTTTAATAAAAAAAGATGACCTGATCTCTTAACATTCTACATTCTGCAATATTTCTAAGACCATTCCTGAACGAATGACAGAACTATCATACACTGGTGAACCGAAATTCGACACTACATGCGGCTGGAATAATCATCGTATTTCGAACGAATTAAAGAGCACAAGGTACTGCTTTATACGGTATGAACTTGGAATAGTGAACAAGCAATACCTTTCTGGCTTCTACTCGGCTTGCGGTAGACTCCAACTTGTCGGCGGTAACAATGTTCTTCAGGTCCACGTCCAAGGAATACCTGCCACACTAACATTGTTAGGCGTGTCATATAATACAACGTCAACTTCGCATAATCCATCATTTCCTAGGTCCTATAGATACAAGAGATACAGGGGTATACTGTTTCAAGCATGACTAAACACATCAAAAACAACATGACTGAAATAACTTCCTGCTCTGTTGCTATTCGTAATCCCAGTTACACACAAATCGTAAAACAATCCACATACAAAGTGGCAAGACAATTGGAGAAAGACACTTCGGAAAACCTTCTACGAGATAGTGCAGGATCACACTGAAACGATTAGATGTCAGCGAAATTTCAAATGCTGCATGAGCCGGCAATATATCTTAATAACATTCTAAGAAAACCAAAATTGATGTTTTAGTGATTCAATAGAGATACTATGTGGTTGAGCATTATACAGCGTGTTATGTATCAATTCTTCAAAAACACTATCGCGAAATATGTTTTGCAATGCCCTTACACAAGCCGCAGTGAATAAAAATTGAGAAGTGAAAGAACGCGTACCTAGTGGGCATGATGTGGTTGTAGTTCACCACTTTGGTGAAAGCTTTCAGCCTGGAGCGCTTGGCAATGGTCTTCTGCGACGCCTTCTTGATTACCTAGAGCCAAGTGTAGAATAGAATTAGTGAGAAACATATACCCAAATCTGCATTCATCTCCAATCGCCATACCAGAATTTACAGCAATTGGATACATAATTTGAGGGTGGCAATAAAAATCATGAAGGGTCCCGCTTTAGATTTCATTCCCCGAGTGAAAATACTTAGAGAAGCCACATGTATGGGTAAGAGCGGTTGGCAAGCCTTCGCAAGAGCCGCAACAAGGGTTTAAGAACATTCTGGAGTAGCTTCCCACATTCTGTGCATGAAAGATAAACCCAGACGCAGGGAGACCAAAACTCCTCCAAGTAGCACATCTCTCAATCAATCAGCGAGAGAAAACATAAACGTCTCGTCCTTTTTAGAAAAAGACTGTTATTTGAAAAGACAAGCGATGTCGTCTATTAACCAAGCCCAATAGCTAACCTAAACATAATCCCTAAAAGCAAATAGACTTACAACAAAACAAAAACAAAAACAAAATCCAAAAAACTTCTGCAACCCGACGACGCCAAGGAAACACGGGCTAGACCAAAAACCTTGCGGGGATACTTGGCGATTCCACAGACGATAGCGTGACCGTAGGGGCGCTCCTTGGTGCCATCGTCGAAGTTCTTAACAATGACAGCCTTGCGACCGGCGTAGCGGCCCTGCAAGAGCACGACCACCTTGTTGGGCTTCAGAAACTTCACCATTGTGGTGTTGCAGCTGGAGACGAGACGAGACGCCTTCTGTCACACACATACACACACTGTGGAGAGAGATGGTGAAAGGAGAGCCTTTTCGCTTCACTTCCAATATCAACAACCCCCCCCCCCCTTGCGGCTCTCGCCCCCTAACCCTAATCCGGCACCTTCCTTGTTGAGGTGTGCATCCAACCCTACTGATACCCTTGCTTACCCTGATTCTGTATTAAGGTTGTTACTTTTGGGGTATATACCCAGTTCTAAATAATATCCGTTTTATACATCTACCCGTCGGAGGCTCAGGTATCTGGATCCAACACCCCTCATAGTGACGACATCTGGATTTGAAGACAATCTGGTTGCCGTCACCTCGATAGAAGTTTCGGCCTCATTCAAAACAATTGTCCATCTTCTCCGACGTCGTTGCTTCGGGGAAATCAACGACCTGTCGAGTTCATAAATCACCGATGGATGTAGCAGAGCCCTGAATTCAGTGCATTGTTGTAAAGCTAGTTGTGATTTCATTTGTTTCAAGCAAGTTTTGCGATCTCAACCTTCTATTTTACGATGTTGTTTGAAAAACCATGTTCAGCCTTCGAATGCCGAAGGAGTGCAGTAGTTGTGCATGGTGGAACAGAATGGGATGCATTTTTTGGCCCCTGTGTGGAGGAGTTTGTGGATTGCTCACGGAGCTTAACTTCTTAAACCCCGCACTTGAAACCTTGATGCACAGATTCTGTTTCGACAGTCCAGGAAAAACTGAAATGAGCATCGAAGTGGCGACTCGCAGACTTTGACTGAAGCCCTAAATTCGTTGTAACCGCTCTCCCTTGAAACGAAATCGGTGATCCCCGCTCGCCACCTCGGATCCAGCCCGCTTTCGCCACGCTCTCACCGTATCCATGTCATCGTTATCGGATCTTCTCCAGAGCACGATAAAGCTGTGAGTCCTGATGATTTTTTTATGCGGCACTGTGACGATCATTGCTATTGGAAGCCATTGTGGTGAGCAGGATGCACGTCCGAGACTCCAATCATGCAGGTAATGCAAGTGCGTACTGTTTGTGAGTAATTACATACAGATGCGCTAGGGACGACTCCCGTTTCTGTGGGAAAATGTTCCACTTTCTTCGTTGGGTCATACGTTTGCTTCTGGATAGCTTTGTTGCAATTAGTTAGAGAATGTGATGAAGCACGATCTCTGGATGTTTGCATAGTTAAGGTGATATGCCAAAATCGGGAATTAATATTTTATTGGATCTGTTTATGTTCAACATCCTTTGACGCGTGATTCGTTGCTTGCGCTGCGAACTTAAGTGATGTGAGCTTTAACACATATGAATATTACTATAGCACACCTGACGATAGAAAATTGGTAACTGCGTTTGGTTGTAAGCTATCACGAATGGATTTGCTTCGGACTTGCACTATTTGCTAACATCTTCGCAAGAAATATAGTACGCGGGGTTACAAATGAACATTTTGTGATGGCATTGTTTAAACCCAAGAACACAATGCATTGTATCGGAGTATGAACATGAAGTTGCTCCGCAAAATGTGTTTCAGTGGTGGGCGTTAATACCTCTTAGAGTCTCTGACAAATACTTTCGTAAGGTGCAACAGTGAGATGATTAATGGAACTAAACATTTACGAGGGTATAAGCACGACAATTCATTACCAAGTTTATGTCTTGGGCCTGGAATGAACTTTACTTCTGGGCATTGAACGGTGAAACGCACGTGAGTCAAGGTTGCTGCTTCGTACAACCGCATAGGCACCGACCGGAAAAAAGATTTGAAAAAGGATGTCATGTGTATGCAGTTGTGGTTGCATAAGAATTATTGCAGATTAGCAGATCCTATTGCGATCACAATTATGGAAAGCTAACTCACAGTCTGTGCAACAAGTTTTTCGCATGTTTTAGGATGATGTACAGTTTCGTCGGCTTGTCTGTCTGTGTGATGATTGTTGGAGCTCCTACGTATGACGCACTAAATGCTGTATGAGATTCAATGTCTTTCAGACGGGTAGGAACTAACTTCGGTGCTGGCATTTGGCCTCTGAACCGATGATTAAAAAGACGATCTCAACAAATTGTTAATGCGTAGATCAGGAGCATTAAATGGCTACACCAGTGAGCTCATTCAACGTAAGTGGTTGATCTTGCCTGTTTGATGTTTAACTTGCTCTTTATCGGAAAAAAAAAAAAAAAAAGAAAGAAAAAAAAGGGAAAGCTCTTGCTAGTTACCTTGTCATGGCCTCTAAACACATTCAACGAGATCCTTGCTGCCTAGTACAACCTTTGGGCTGATGTATACACAGAGACAGAAAACTTGAAAGGCTTAATCAACAGTGTCTTCATTTTTTGAAGGTTGTTGATTTGCAGGTTAAATCCAAGTACAACAAATTCAGAAAATGCGAGAGTCAAAGGCATCTGGTTTGAGTTAATTCAGGAGTGCAAAAATTAAAGTGATTGGATCGAGTGAATTAGATAAATACGTTATGATGAATATTTGTGGGTGCTGGTCTTGCTCTGAAATTTTAACTGCGTTGTCACAAGTTAACCTGGGCATCGAGGAGCTTTGGAGAAAGAAAGAGGAGATCAAGAAAGCCATGCAACTTGAGGAGGATGAGAAGGAATACATCCAGAGGGAATTATTGGTGCTCACAAATCACTTGATTGTGATTGACGAGTCTGTGTCTCGAAAGTATGCGTATGTGGAAGAAAACAATAAAACCATTGAGGAGGTTGAAGCAGATTATTGTAAAGTACGTCTCCTCTACTTTAATTCAATATTGAGTTTAAGGAATTGACTTTCTTATTTATCTAATTTCAATAACAACCAATTATAATGGACATGAATATAAAATATTATGAATCTTGGTTTGACATATTAATGATGTAAGAAGGAATTTGTTCATTTTGTAAAGTGGTGAATTTGTGTAACTCAAATCTCAAGTCATCATTTGAAGATGTAAATATTGTAGTATTGTTTGTAATCATCTGCAACAAGCATTTAATTCCTTCATCTAAAAAACTTTCTGAAACATAGAGTGAATCAGCTATGCCATTGATGATACTAGTAGGAATGTATTTATTTTTATTGAAAATGTTCCATGGCAAGGAATAAAGTTAATTTGATGAACATACTTATTTATTTAGATTATTTCATAAATAACATGCACATGTTTTTTTCTGTGTAGATCTCAAAACAGTTGCAAGCTTTTTTACATTTAGAGGTAGGTTTAGATTAATATTACTATTTGTGAAGTAAGTTTGTATTTGAAGACAAGATTGTTTTTATTATTTCAAAGTTACACAATATATATATATATATATATATATATATATATATATATCAATTTAATAAAAACAAAAAAATGGATAATAATGTTTTTAAATATATTTTCATAATTTTTATAATAAGAATTTGTAGTAAAAGGTATCACTTGTTTAATATATATACAAATTTATATAACCTAATTTTGATGTTTTCAATGATATACTTCATATTTTAAATTTTGTAATAAATTTATTGATTTTTGTTCAACTTTAATCTATTAAAAAAAATTGAGTTTTTATTTCGATTAAAATAATCAAATTTTAAATATAAATAGAAATATATAATATTATTATAAAAAAATATTTTAAAAATTTAAATGATTAAGTTGATATGTAATAGGTTGATTAAGAAAATTTGATGGAATATAAGCAATTGTTTTAAAATACAATAATTAAAAAAGATGCATTATGATATAACAATGATTATCAATGTTATCTCTAATATGTGGCAAGTTCTTCAATCACAAGAAACATAAATTTGGTTCCAAAAATAATTCTTCAATAACTTCCATCAACTTCACAAATTCATTGCAAAACAAATTGATGACAATACATACAAATAATGAGTTTTTAATGTTATGGTATAATATCCAATGAATAAAGTACAAGCATCAAAAATCAAATCAAAGGTCAAAAAAAAATAAAACAAAACAAACAAACAAGGATTATATCATAATTATCTACAAAATGTGGATTATAAATAACAAAGTTTTTAGCAATCCATTTGAGAGGAGTGGCAAAGTTGGCATTGCACTAGACATCTTTGTTTTCTTTTTTAATATCAATTTGATTTTTTTCTGATTATTTTTTATTATTCAATATACATAAATTGGGATTCAACTTTTAAAATGCATAAATTTCTAAATATGTGTATAACAAGTGGTTTTTTGTTGAATTTTATTTAACAAGACAATTTTTTAAGATTGTTTTATAATATATATGTACACCTAGTCAAAGTACTTACTTGCAAATCAATCTTATAATATAAAATTGTAAATTAATTGACATATTTAATGTAGTCTCTTAAGAAAATTATGCAATGAAAGTTTGTAATATACCAATTTATTTGATGTAGCATTATAAAAGAACCTCACAATATAAATTTAATATCATCTAAGTTGCATGACACATCTCTACAAAGTAGGGCATCAATTTAAAATCACAAACAACAAAACTGCTTGCTTGCAAATGCAATTTCATAAGACAATCTTATAATGGAAATTTACAACCATATTGCTTAACAAAATACCATACAACATAGTTGCAATAAAAACTTACAATTAGCCAAATTACATGCAAATAAACTCTATAAGAAAATCCAATTACACGTATTGCCAAAAGGTTTAGAAGTGGTGAAATAATACAATCTTGCAAAACATCCTTTTGAAACATATTGGTATAATTTACACTATTGCTCAAATATTGTAGCTCCAAAAAAAAACCCTATAATTAAATTTCTTAAATTTTTATATTTCTTGATTTATGACCTTAGTTAAAACATCAAATAATAATAATAATAATTTTAAATAGTAGAAATAAAAAAATCATTCAAACATCAAAAAAAATTAGTATAATTATTTTTAAATGATAAAATAAAAATGAGACAAAAAATTACAAAAACTTACAAAAAATAGGTAATACTTTTGAAAAAGAAAAAAAAAAGAAAAAAAAGAAAAAAAAAGAAAAAAAAAATCGTGTATACAATTGATGTGAGTAACAAACAATGTCTAATCCTAGTTGTTCATAATCTTTGATGAAATATTCTTGCTCACCAATAGATTTCATTTTTGTGGCATTAAAACCACTGTGACACCTACAAATAGAAGAACACTTACAAAAAAATCAGAAAGGTCATTTGAAATTAGAATCAATACAACTGGATATAAAATTCAAGTGGGGTGGGGGGGCAAGTGGCATGGGATTAGATGAGATGAGGCGGGGTCTCTCCCGCGATGCAATGCGATGCGATGCGCTGTGAAGGATTAAAACAATATCCCAAGCGGAATGGGATTAGACCCGTCAGCAAGGGATCTCCTCTTCAACCAGATGGCGTAGAACCGGTGGAGTTGAATACAAGCAGCCATGTCGGTGTCAGTGCTTGTGGCGTGGGCATGGAGGAAACGCTGGATGTAGGACACATTCCCAGCCGTGGTGGATGCCTTCAACTTCTCCTTCTTCATCTTCAAAGGCACTCTATTTCAGCTTTTGCTGCATGAAACGCAGGTTTTCTAAGTCCGCGTCGGTGCGAGCGCTCGCTGGATGTGGTACGATCCCACCAACCAACACCCCCAAACCCTAAAAACTGCCTTTTTATTCCGGTGGGAATTGAAAACAGATATCGGATGTGTAAGTGAGCACTGGATTCATTTTTCTTCATTGGATGGCTAATTTCATGCACTTCCAAGGCCACATATCTTGTAGTTTAATTGCCGTGTATTTCATCCAACTTCTTATTGTAAATAATGTGTTCCTGATTGTAATACCGTAGTCTTTGAGGTGATTCATTATATATCCAAAAATATTATTAAAGTTCTCTAAAAGGTATTGTCACATATTTATTTAAGCTGCACCTCAATATCCCTTGAAGCACAGAACAAGGTTCTTGTAGCCTTTATCACAAGTCAACACATTGTTTTGAACAAACATTTAATACTTTAAAACACTCTATTAAAATGCTTGCAATTAAGATTGAGAAAGCCTAAAAAGATTGATTACTCTATACAAGACTAGAGCCGTTCAAAATCTATAGAAAAATTAATAATCATGGAAAAACAACAGATGTACAAAAATATATGTTGCATCAATTAAACACTTTTCCTAAAGACATGATTGTAAACCAAATAAAATGAAAAATGAAATTTTTATTTCACTAAGTCAAAATTGTTAGATATTTATCTGTTTGAAAAATATTGATTGCAAATGTACAGGGTGTGGCGTTTTTGTTTTTTTAAATGTAATTCAATGGCCATGTATACACACATGTACATTTGTTATTTTAAATCGAAAATTTTCTATAAAAAAATTACAGAAAATTTGTTGCATCCTGTAATTACTTTCTGTCAACATATATTAAAACACATGTTTCAAAGTCAGCATTAATTTGTTTTATGTTTTAACTTGGAAAGAATGCTTGGTCAAATTTACTACTAATGTAATTGTGTTAGTACATGGCTATGCAATTGGGTAATGTGCATGTAATATAAAACTCTTGTTGATTCTACCTTCCATTTTTACAGTTCTATTGTATGTTTAAGTATTTTAAAAATTAATTGAAGTTTTAATTCATTTAATTTTTAATTTTTAATTCCTAATTTTGCAAATTTAATTTTTCAAAATTATGGATTGCTAATGAAATAGGCCGTTTTTTAAAACTAAAAATTATACACCATTAATACATAATTTAAGAAAGGGTCAAGCTACAAGCATACCCCAATTGCTATATGCACATCCATTATGTCTAATTTGCAAATCCAAATCCCTTTTTCTTTGTCCCAATGCAAGTTCTAAATCTCCTCCTTTTCTTTGCTCTGGTGCAGGTCTTTTTATAAACTTATAATTAAAGAAAGATAATAAAAAAAAAATATATATATTAAAACAATCCACTTATTTACTAAATAGATCCATCCTATTGTATCTATTATTAAAAAAATTGATCATCTTTGGAAACCATCATAACAATCATGGCTCTCATTCCAACCTCTCTTGTTCTCCCTCATTTCCCCTAATAAGGTGGATTGATTTAGCAAATTGATGGATCATTTTAACATTTTTTTAAAATATAAATTCAAATATATTTTTTATTCAAATATTTTTTTATTCTAAATTTTTACAAATTTGATTTATTTTTAACATGCAAGATAATCAAAACCTTTTACTTTGATCACTAATAGATGAAGTAGCTTATTGGAAATTTAGTGAAAAATATTAAACTAAATTTATACAATTTTTGTAAGTAAATGATAGTGTTATAAGGAATGTTTTGAAAAAAATCATTAAATTGTGATTTTAACAATGGAAGACTTTGTTCAAAAACAGACTAAAATACATTGAATATTAAAAGATTAAAAAGACTCAAAGTAGGAATTATATTTATTGTTTGAGATAGCAATTAAATCACCACATTTGTGTTATCATTGTAATGATTTATTAGTCGATTTATTAATAAATTTATAAGAATACTAACTTTACTCAAAATTTTCAATTTAATACTTATAAAAAACTTTAAACACCTACTAATTTAAGTTTTATGTGTAGATTTTTAAAATTTTAATTATAAAATAATGCTAAAATATATATATATATATCAATTTATAAGAAATTAATATAATAAAAATATTCATAAATATTTAAATAATATTTTATAATTAATTAATATGATATTTAAATTTCAATGTACAAAATTATTTGCTATTAAAAGATTCTTTATATTTCTCAATACAATAATTCTAATAGATTACACTTAATTTATCCTTCTACAATTAAATTTTATTATTAAAAAGAAACTTTTGTAAAACAGATGTTTAATGTGTTAATGGATATGAAGACATATTAACAAACCAAAATTTATCAAAATAACAATTATAATAACAATAGTATAAATAATATTTAAAGGGAATTGTTGGTCCACCCCACGTGACCTCCACATGACTTGACTTGACTAAAAAGTGTGCTTCCTCGTTTAGGGAGTGTTTGGCAGTCCAATATTTAATGCCAACAATGACCCAAAATAAATAAATAAATCAATATATATATATATATATATATATATATTTTGGCAGTCAAATTAACAGTTCTCTATTTATTTTAACTAAAGTACATGAATTATTTAGAGTTTGTTTATTAATTAATTAATTGATTCCTCCTCTCTGGTCCGTCGGATGAAGAGGAACAATCGAGAATCTGCAGGTGCTGCTCAGATGATTTATATCGGCGCTGATGAGCTCGACTCACACCGTGATGGCTCACTCACTCACCCTCCTTCCTTCCTCGTCTCCATGTAGTTAGTTAGTTAGTGTCAAGGAACTATTCAATTCATGGCTCCCGAGTATTAGTAATTAGGATCCACCTCGTTCGTTCTGAATTCATTTCGATATATAAATAAGCGCAGTTGTAGTTGTATTGTGCCGGAGCTTCGTTTCTGTCCGGGAAACAGAGTTGGAGCAGAGCCCTGGCGGCTTTCTCGCACTTCGAGCAATCTTCTCATCTCCGGAATCTCACTCGTCCCGCCGAGTCAGGTTATCTCCCCGCGTCTTCGGTGTCGCAACTTCCTTCAACTTTGCCAGTAATTGTAAGCGGCTTCCGTTTTTATTTTAGTTTGATTTTTTACGTGGCGAATTTCTGATGTTGTGATGTTGGACTGCAGATTGCGATGGCGATGCTTGAAGAAGACATAGATTGGGATAACTGTCGGTGGATCGGCGCGGCCGTTTCCAGTCATGCTGACGATAACTTCGTAATGGTCGCTCGAGCGGATGCGGTGCGGTACCAGACTATGAGGTTGCGGCGAGAATTTGAAGTGAAGTCACAGATTCACCGTGCGACGCTCTATGTCTGCGGGTTGGGACAGTATGAAGCCACAATCGATGGTAGCAAAGTCGGTGAGGATTTGTTTACTCCCGGGTGGACGAATTACAGGAAGACATGTCTTTACGATACCTACGATGTGACGATGCAGCTGCAGCGCACCGGGCGTCACGCATTAGGAATACTTCTTGGCAATGGGATGTATCACATTGAGGATCCCGGCGGCCGATACACCAAATTTTTAAACAGTTTCGGTCCGTTGAAAGCCATAGCGCAACTGCATCTTGAGTATGCCACAGGTCCGACGGTGATTGTGAGTACTAATGGAAGCTGGCGGATCAGTCCCGGTCCGATCACGTTCTCCCATATGTTCGCTGGTGAAGACTATGACGCGCGCCTGGAGGCCAGGGGCTGGGACTCGCCGGGATTCAACGACGAGAAATGGGATTATGCCGCAGTGTTAGACGGTCCGGGGGGGAAGCTGCGAGGAACGAGTGTTGCGGCTCCTCCAATTCGCGCCATTGAGGTCTGGAATGTGGCGAAGCCTTCGAAGGAGCTGAAGGAGGGCGTCGCCGTCTATGATTTGGGTCAAAATGCTACCATGATGCCGCTAATCAAAGTTAGTGGTGCTGCGGGTTCGAAAGTGCGCATCATTCCGGCGGAATTAATCAATGACGACGGCTCGGTAAATCGCATTTCCTGTGGCGGAGGGATGGCCTACTGGGAATACACTTTGGCCGGGAACGACAGTTCCAGAATGAGCGAGACCTACTTTCCAAAGTTCTGGTACCACGCCTCCCGATACTTACAGGTTGAGCGCATTGGCTCGGCGGAAGGGCAGCCGCTACCGATTGTGGAGTCGCTGCAAAATGTGATTGTGCACTCTATTTCGCCTCCCGTTGGCCAATTCTCCTGTTCCAATGACTTGTTCAACAAAATCTACACTTTGATCCGCTGGGCGCAAAGGAGCAACATGTGGTGCTACATGACCGATTGCCCGCATCGCGAGCGGCTTGGCTGGCTCGAGCAGACGCACCTCAACGGCCCTGCCCTGCGATACAATTTCCGTCTTGACAAACTCTTCACGAAAACAATGCACGACATGTCCGATACGCAATCTGAAGACGGAATGCTAACTACGACCGCTCCGGAGTATATGATCTTCGATGGTTGGTATAGCGAGTACCGCAACTCGCCGGAATGGAGCAGCGCGTTCCTGATCATCGCATGGCAACAGTACGAATTCTCAGGGGACCTTGAACCTCTTCGTCTGTACTTCGACAACATGGTGCGGTATGTGGGATATCTTACCAGCCGTGCGGTAGATCTTATCGTCAGCTTTGGATTGAGTGATTGGTACGACATTGGGCCCGGCGATCCAGGCCCTTCAAAATTGACACCGAAGGGAGTGACAGGAACCGCATTCTACTACCAGGACAGTCTCATCCTCGCGAAGGCGGCCAAGTTGCTGGGCCGCAACGAGGACATTGCAAAATTTGAGGAACAGGCGGAGCGAATTCGAGCCGCCTTCAATGCAAAGTACTTCAACGCAGATACGAATCAGTATGCCACGGGCTCACAGTGCGCGAACGCCATAGCGCTTGTGATGGGACTAGTCGATCCATCTAACGAATCGGCCGTTCTAGAGAACATCGTTGCGGATGTCGAGGCGAAAGGACTAACCGCAGGAGACGTCGGGTTTCGCTATCTGCTGCGTGCTCTGGCGGGCGGCAACCGCTCCGATGTGATCTTCAAGATGGTGAACCAGTCAGACAAGCCCGGCTATGGCATGCAGCTTGCAAAGGGTGCGACGGCGCTCACGGAAGCCTGGGACGCCAACCCTCGGTCATCCCATAACCATTTCATGCTTGGGCAGATCACGGAGTGGTTTTTCCACGACCTCGCGGGGATTCAGAGCGATCCGGAAGTGCCCGGATTTGGCAAGGTTGTGATTAAGCCGACCTTCGTCGGCGATCTGACATGGCTCAAAGCAAGCTATGACTCGGTCCACGGGAGAGTTGTAAGCGAATGGAGCCGATCCAACGATGGCGAGGTCACTCTTACGGCTACTATTCCAGCTACAACTACAGGGAGAGTGATGATTCCCACCTCGGCTTCTAGCCCTGCAGAGCTGCCTGCTTCAAATTGTCGTGAAGGTTGCATGCTCCTCAAATTTGATGGTAGTTTTGCGGTTTATGAAATCATTAAACCTGGCACTTACACTTTCATTGCGCCATACAATGCATAAGCTTGCCATAAAACCTTGCGGGATGCAGTTAAATGGATTGAAGTGCCGTAAGTTTAACATGGCCAGTGGCTGCTTCAATGAGAGTTTCGTCATACAGACTGGGGCGGGCACACATTGGTGGCAAGTTTCTAGGTCAACTCCGAACAACTCTTACGGTTAGTGCTACGTTCGGAGGCCTTGAATTGGATTTGAACCATGCTTACAACTCCTATGACTAGAGATGCTGTGTGATAAGAAGCTGCAAGAAACGCAAATTTCAAGAATCAGGTTTGTTTCGGTCCCTGCCTGCTTGGGGGCCAGCCTTCACCATTTGCAACAATCTAGGCTCGTGAACAAGTACGAGCGAAACAGATGGAAATCGCATAGGGTCTTGTGATGAGAAGTCATGGTTTCGCCCACAGGATGACTAACTCACGATTTGTGATGGATTAGGACGAGAAGTTTAGAGTAATGCGGAGAAAAGATCCGGGGAAATTAACTCCATGAAAAGCTGGCACGACGTTGGCAACTCATGAGGCGCAAGTGCAAATACTGAAATAAAAATTATTCAAAGAGAGGAATTTCTTAGACTTGGAACCTCTCTACAGATCACGGCAGCTGGTAGCTATTTACGTAAGGCTGATCAGGGTTTAGGGTTTAAATCATCTATTTAAACTCCAGACATGTTTGCCGACTCCAGATGTTGGCAAATGAAATTCGAATCTCAGTAGGTAACAAGAATGTTGCAGACTTGTCAAAAGCATCTTGCATTAATCAAATGAGGATTATTGTCTACGTTCCGTTCAAGAATTGTTCATGCTTAGAGACGTGGAGGAAACGGAAGTGCTACTGAATCAGCTGTTGGACTTGTCGAGGAATCGGAATTGCAACTTGTTTACAATACATTAAATGAAAAATTGGTCATCAAGCAAAGATAAAACGTCGCTACAGTGTGAACAAGTATCAAAGGTAAAGCTGTTTATTTTAAACGGCGTCAATGTGAGAGGGGTTCTTTGAACATTTTAATGCCCCATATCTCCAAAACTAAAAATATTCTATTGATTTTATATAAGTGAGATTTATTTATTTATTCAAAAAATTATTACTTGTATTATATTATACGTAGATATAGATATATGATCTTGTACTATTTGATAATTAATGCTTATCATATAGTTTTTTATTCTTTTTTCTTCTTTGGCTTTGAATAGTAGTGTTTATTCTGTTAATTAATCCTCCAAAAATTAATAACCTCCAATAATTAAGTAAAATTTTAGGAATTGACTTTGTTCTATGGTGTGTATTAACAACCTTTGATTTCTAATAATTAAATTAATATTCATTAACTTTTATTAACTAATAGAGATAATTAAGAGATGTGACATAGCCAACAAGACCACATGGCTGTACGGAATTGAGTAAGGCAATATCACACAGCCCGCAGGGTTATGTAGCTATATGTAATAGATCGAGGCAAGGCCATGTGGCCGACAGTGATTGGCATTAGCAAGAATGTTTTCTACCCTATCTTCAATACAACATTTCTTCTAATTAATAAACTCTAAAAGTTAATATTTTTTTCTGTAATAGACGATATTAATTAACAAAGAAAAAATTGTATTTTTTTTATAATTATTATGTAGAAAATGATGATTTATGTTCATTATTCATTATTTATCTTTATTATATTATTGATATCATCTTCCTTATTTATTTTTAAATATATGTATATAAATGAACTTGATCTAAAATATGTTAGTCTTAAGATAATACATACTAATAATTTTTTTGATGATTTGATTCTAAATTTTAACTAACTAGTATTGATATTAATCTCCTATTAAGAATTCAGTTGGCAAGCTCTGCTTGCTTGTTTTTTAACAGCCTCTACAAGGGTTCAATGGGATGGACGGGGGCAGTGCCTCTGTGGGTTGGTGTAGATACAAAATAAAGCTTGTTTAGGACAATTGCTAGGGTTAGCAATAGAGTTTTAGTCCAGACTTGATACAAACGTTGTTATGCTTCACAGTTGGTGTTCTTTGTTGTGGAATTGGATTTGTTGTGTGTTTTTAAAATTGCATTGCTGTGAGTCACATCTATGTGCATGTGTAATAAGTCCAATTACTAGTCTTTTTACTTACAATTTATCTTTTATTTATTCAAAAAACCATAGGAGTGTTATACAAGTGATTTATTTTGTACAATTTTACTACCAATTAATGTTAATAGTGTAGTTTTTTTACACCAAAATCTTGAGTATATATGAGAATACAAAGATTTTTTCTAAAATCTTATTAGTTTTTTATTTTAAAAAAATCAATTTCTTAACCAATAATAATTAACTATATAATAATAACGTATAAAAATCAGAACATAAACTAATGGTTAAGAAAAAACATATACTATAAAAGAATACACTATTACAATTAAATTCATTCATTGGAAAGAATTATATTACAAATCTAAGGCCAAAAATAACTCTAAGTTTATTTGGCTTATATGCCACACATAGATTGCAAATAATGGTTGAAAAAAATAATTTAAATATATAAAATATCTATAGTTTTTTTTATTAGTTGAATTAAAATTCAAAAAAAAAAAAATCTTTTGATTGATGGTATAAACTTATGCAATCTTTCAATCATAAAGGACAATCTTGCCTTCTTACCAAATTTATTTAATCACTTGATTAAGAATATATAACAAGATTGTATAATTTTTTGTCTTTTGTTGAAAACTTAAATTTATCTTTAGTTTTGATTAAATCTTTGTTATTCTAATTAGAAGGTTCAAATATGTGTTTTGCATATAAAGACTGTTTTCATATGAGGTGACCACTCTTGTTTAATCTATATGGATATTTATAAGTTAGAACTTTAGATTCAATAATAGAAGTATATTTTATATTTTGTAAAAGCCCAACAAGGTTTTTAAGCCTAGAAATGACACCATCTTTGTTTATGATTTTCTTATAGTATTTCAAATATTGTAAGCTATTAATTATTTATAATTGTGTGTTGGGTCCCATTTAAAAATATACAAGAATCGACTAAAAGCTACTTGTTTGGTCATCATAAATTTGTAATGTAAAAATTATTATACATGAATTTTTCAAGTTATAATGCTATTCTTTTGATATAGCTACTATAGATTATTTTAATTCAATTAGGTGTAGTCCACTTTTTTTTTTTTTTTTTTTTTTTTTTTTCTTCTAAGGCTTATAATATATGTGCCATGAGACGTTTATGTAAATAAAATTTTAGATGCTCCTTCTAAATCAATTTTTTAAAATCATTGCTTAAACTTTATATATGATTTATATTGAACTTATCTATGAGAATATTTAAAATATATAAATAAGGTAAAAATATAATATTAGCAATAATTTATTTATTAACTATACCAAATTTTGTAGAACACTAAAAGTTAAATATTTTTTCTCTCTTGTCAAGAAAAAATCAGTCTATGTTTTTAGTATAGATTGAAATGTCAAAAAGATCATCTAAAATTTTGTTCATTCAATTGAAAGATTATAAGAATAAAATTTATATTTTAATCCAAATTGTAAGGTGGTATTATTTAACTTTTATTTTTAATTAGTGATAAAACTAAAAAGTATAATTATTTTTTAAAAAAATGATAAAATATAAAAGAAAAGAAAAGACAATTTACATTTAAAAATTGTGTGTAGTGTTTTAATTAGACTATTACTTAATAAATAATATAGAATACAAACATAAATTATATTTTATAAATATATTTTTTAATATTTTTTTATTATACCAATAATAAAATTTTATATTTATCATAAACAATATTATAATTATTTTAAAAAAAAAATTAAATTTAAATTTATTTATAAAGTGTCTTAATTTATTTAGTAATGATGTTAAGCTTGAATATTGTTACACATTAATATTGACATTAGTAATTAGGAAGAAAAAATGGATCAGGTAGAAGTATATAAAAGTAAATTAAGTTGATAATATCTTAATAGGAAGCTTCATAGAAACTTCATTGACACAAATTTGACTTTATAAGTATTTTTAGGTGATTATTAGGTTGAAAACTTTGCCAACCAATTTGCCACATATCACACATGTTGACTATTTGTTTTATAAGTTGGCCACATGTTGCATATGTTGGTTAATCAAGGTACAAGTTTATATTTCATCATGAGATGTGGTTTTTTTCTATTATAGTCCTTATCTATTCCATCTATTCCATCTATTCTAAAAAAATACAATACTTTTATTTCATATGCACATAGATGTTGTATTTTTGATAAATATTATATTATACTAAGTATCTCATTTTTAGATAAATTAACCTATAAATAAAAATCTACCTACATATTAACAAAAGAATATATATAATAAATATATTATGCTTTAATTAACTTATACTTATATTAAAGCATTTGACTATTATTATAATATAGAAGATTGTATAGAAATTAAAAAATTACTCAATTCAACACATATTTACGATATATTTTTGTACAAGTAAGACAAATATTTGTCACACTTATTTGGCTACAAACTCCTTCTTTAATATATTCAATCTTTGGAATACATTTGCAAATTTTGGTTAATGCAAAGAATTTAAGTAATAACACATTTAAATATGCTCAATTTATTTATTACAATCTGAAGATATTTTTGATTCCTCATCCTTCTCAATTCTTTCTAATATCTCTTCTGCCTTATAAAAATTAAATAACTAGTTCTTTTTTAAAGGAGAATTGAGAACATATAGTTGCAAGTGAATAAACATTTACTTCTAAAGAACACTTTGTCATTTTTGTTTTTTATTTAATGTATCATTAAGCATGTCTTTATATTTTTACTTTCACAAAAAGAGGCCATGGATGATAAATATAGCAATTTGATAAGTGGTGTTGCATTGAAACTAAAATATGATATGAAATATTCTAGGCATGCAATTACCATATTCCAAACAAACTGCATCTAAAAAAGAGCATCTCATTCCATCCAAAGGCACTATACACGCACTCACACACGATTTGCATAAATCCAAGCATTGCTACGCCCTTCCACAACAACACCAATGAAAGATTCAGTAGACATTTCTTCCTCTCTTTCTTTTCTGATTCTTTAGAAGGCATCTCAAGGCTATGTAAACAATCCACTTCATTGCAGAACACACACGCACACACACTGTAAAAGAGTTTGCTCCACAACTGCACACATACACAACGATGCAGACATCCGGCGGGTTACGCCATCCCTCGCAGCACAAAAGATCATAGTGGAGATGCAATGCTGTCAGGGAGCAAAGCTTATGCTCTTGCAAGGCACAACATCTATGCATGTGAGAGACTGCAGGTGTACAAATCCAGATTTTGAAGGTGCAAAGGCGAGGAATTGAGATGAAGACAACCTAGAGTAGTCGAGACAAGATCTGTGCTTTTTCTGGTGATGGATTCATGGGGAGTGCAACAAACACGCCGAAGCGGAGAAGCAGATTGCAATCACGCATCTATTGCAAGGCTATGAAGCGCTGCAGTGACACGATGAGACTGGGAGGCCAATGCTTCTCGGCTCTTACCCAGGAGGGATCCGTGTAGCGGGGATCTAGAAGTGTGGCAAACGTGAATTGCTGCTCGGCTGGGACTGGCGCGTGCTTGTCGGTGTAAAGAGCCGCTGCTAATGCGGCGTGAACTTCTGCACCCACCCATCACACGGTGGAGCTTAACACGAGCCTGGCAGGTGGGATCAGCACTGGGCCGTCATGAAGTGTGAGTTGCGTGTGAGCTCACCTGGGTATCCTTTCAAGCTCAGTGTCATGTCTTCCATTTCTGCGATTGCCTCGTCCCGGTCTCCGACCTCGTACAGCGTCAACGCTCGACCCACCCTTGCGTAGTCCGCCAGTGCTAAGTCACCGCTGGTTTGCGTTATCTGTGCTCACTCCCACAAAACACTTGCCTGATTATTCCAGCCTGTATGACATCGCATCATGCGATGGTCTGAGATCATTATATTCCAAATTACGCTCCCTCTGCAAGTCCAATGTACCAGAATACAAGAATGGAACCCAGCGATAAACTGCAGATGTTTGCGTGTGCGATATCGTGAACAAAATTATGTTCCCATGAAAAATTCGAACTCTCGCAGCAGTGATAAAAATTCTTCACAGTAGACCACGTTCCGAAAACAAGCAGAGTTACGAATTTTTCCCTCACTCGATTGATGTTTGTATACAGAACGGGGAGATCAACGAATTGGAGAAGGAGGTGAAGAACCAGAGGGGCAATACCAGACTGTAGTACCGGAATGCCGCCTCGAAATCATCCCTGGCCTGTGCCTTCCGGGCCTTATCCAAAAGATCCAACGCCTCCGCCACCCGTCTCGCAAACGCACTGCTGGCTTCCCTCTCCTCTTCCGACACTGGGTCATACCCTGTGCGTGGCGATTTCGGCACCCGCATTGCCGCCAGCGATTCCCCATCCCCCAGAACTAAAAGACACGCCATGGCCATCCCCAGCACCCACCCCTTGGCACCACCCAACAGCGGCCATGGCTCAACTCCTTCCACACTGTCTTTCACGCAACAAGCCCGTTCCACTCGACCAGCTTCACGAGATGTGGAAGCGCTAGTCGAAGGATTGCAAAACCCTGATCGAAAACTACCATACCTCTCCGCCTGCCAGCTGAACAAACTACTTCGTCTCCTCACGGCTCGAAACTGACAACCAGGTTCATTAACTCTCCAGTATTTGTCGTGGATCCATGCCGCAACAGAAGTTGAGGCGAGAGTCGACGAGCTGGACCGGCTTGCAATCGCGCAAGAGCAACAAGGAATTGGCGTCGCAGCAACCATGACTCCGAATCTGTTGCGCTATCGACGATTATCCGACACAGCACTGCTGCCACCGGCAATGCTCATCCCTCCCTCCCTCCCTCCACTCAACTCCACCCAACTCCACAATTCGTGCCGCGGCACGCATCAGGATCGACACAACGATGTTGATTGAAATCTGGTGGATCCTTCCTTTCCTGGCGTCATCTCGCATCTCGCATCATCGCCTACCGCAGAAAAGCGGAGGCCACGGGAGAGCGAGGCATCGCCCTACCCCCGCCGTGCCTCCAGGCTCATCTTCCAACTGCCATCAAGCCCCAAAGACACTTTAAAGTAGGCCGTCTACTTTTTCTTCATTCGTGGGTTCGTTCCTCGGAGGGGAGGGTGGCGTTGTAGGTGGAATGGGAGTTAAAAGATTGTCCAATAAGAAGACAAGTAGAACATTTCTTTTGAGAATTTCGGTTGATAGGGGGTTTGAGCAAACACTAAGGATCGTACAAAGGACGCTTTTAAAAGGACACACTAGGAATTAGAAGAAGGTAACCCAACAAATAATTAAAGAATTTAATATGCAAAAAAGAGGAATAAAGGAGACTTTTATAGAAAAGACGATATACAATTCACTTGCATCAAAAACGCATTGTAAATGCATGGATTTTATTATAATTTTCAATCTTATAATTTAGGAAGTTGTTAAAGCCACACCCCACTTCTCATTTCATGATGCATTTTGTACATGTCCGTTGTCTCCGACCCTATTCTGAACCCTCTTCTCTTGTTTCCATCCCGTCTCCATCGTGCTCGACTCCACTCTTCCCAATCCTGCCCAATTCCACCTCAATTCCATCCCACCCAACTCCACCCTTGTTCTAAGAGTTTGAAATTGAACAATTCAATTGGTTATTTATTTTCTTTAATACTTAAATAAAATATATATCCAATTCCACATATACATGATGTGAAAAAGAAATAACAAAAAAACCACAAAATTTTGAAGAGTACTTTCAGTAAACTTTTCAACTTTTTTTTATCCATGTAAAATTTAAAAGATAATTATAGATTTTTCTTAATGGATATGTGAAAGTTTTAGTTGAAAATAAAAATAAATTATCTTAATTTGATATTGGTTTGAAATAACCATATCTATTATGAAATGCCAAATTTTAAACTTCTTATATTTTATTTTAAATTTTAAGATATATATTAAAATATTTTTTCATATTTTTTCATTCCAAAAATTCAAATCATATTATTATTTTTATAATTATTTATAATATTTAGAAAATATTAAATATAATTTTATTGAATATTATTTAAAATATTTTTTAAAGTTTAGAATGATTAAAAGAAAATCAAAATATACATATTTATGTATATATATCCATAAATTCTTTTAATGGTTATTCATTTATGTGTTTGTATGTGTGTGTACATACATATTAAACTAATAAGACAACAACGTGATATGCACTACTATGATGTGAAACATATTTTTCAAAATCCAATATGAAGAGAAACTTAATTAATAATAATTACATCTTTGTAAATACAATGGCAACAACCATTATTTCATGACAATTCAATTCTTTGTATAATTTATTTATTTATTTATTTATTTATTTTGCAAGTAGTAACATGAATCATGTTAGTGTGTCAATCTAACATCACAATAATTTGAATAAAAAATATTTAGCTTCTTAAAACCCAATTGATAAACTCTTAAACATCTATGATTAATTTATAAAGCAAAAATGAACTCATAGGATGCAGGTGGGGATTTGGTGGGGTTGGATGGGATGGGGATAGGAATGGGATGAGAATGAGAGAAGAGGGTTGAGAATGGGGTCGGGAACAAATGACATGTACAATATGGATCATGAGGTGAAAAGTAGGATGTAGCTTAACCAGCTCTCATAATTTATTGACTAAGTTTATGAACATTCATTTTTTTTTTTTTTTTTTTTTTTTTTTTTAAAATTATTTATACTAAGGAAAAATTTAAAAGCTTTATTTAGTATCAATTTATAAAAAATATATTTAGTATATAGAAAATATGTTTGTCGAAATAATAATATATAATTTAGAAATGCAATAAGCAAGGATTTTAAAATTACATTTTAAGGTTTTATACACAATTTGAAAATATAAAGATTTGTATATTAAAAATTATATGAATATTATTAGATACTTATATAAAATTATATGACTTTGTTTTTCAAACAATAGTAAAATATTTTTAAACAAATAGATTTATTTCTAATTATTAATTATTATTATTATTTAATTATTATTTAAAAATAATTCTTTTGATGAATGATTACAACTTCAATAAAGTTTTAAATAAAATTCTTCAATAATAAAAAGCAAGTATACAAGTATGTTATAATGTTTTTTGTTTGTAAAATACATTCAATTATTTTAAGTCTTTGTTGTTACAAATAAATAAGCAAAGTTATTAAAATAAATTAAATATATTATTTTGAATAGTATATTAATATATACAAATGAAATAATATTTTCTATTAAATTTAGGTTGTGTTTTGAAGCATCATCAATTTACACCATCAATTTCATATGTATATGTATATATATATATATATATACAAAACTTTAATTAGAAATTGTACAAAGATCTCTATTTCTAAAAGTTGTAATATAATTGCATTATGCAAAGATAGTTTCATGGTGAGATACAATATTTTTTGATTTAGTTCCAATTACTAATTTTTGGTAAATCAAATACATTGCTTCAACTCAAAGGTGACAAATACTAAGTCATAAATAAAAATATATTAAATATCAACTACTCTCTTATATCAACAAGATGGTAAAATATGGACTCTTTTATTTTTATTAGCAACTTTTGTTGGATGCAATGAAGGCATATAACCTTACAATTATTAGTATTTGAAGTAGTGTTAATTTTGTGTTGTTAATCTTTTACATATAAATATTAAAACCAAGGTTGTAAATAAAAAAATACTTGTTTATTCTTTGCACATTTGCAGACCTCACCTACAATATGTGCATCTTTGCTGTACCATATGGAATTAAATTTACACAAACCTATACACATTATAGGACATCAAAAACAAGATCGAAAGCTTTCAAACGCTTTACTTCAAGATGACAACAAGAATGACTACAAGAATAATAAGGACTAGATTGAACAATGACAATAGCAAAAGAGTAAATACTTTAAATGTAACTACAAAGATCTAATTGACAATTTCATGTTCCCTTAGATTTTTGTAAAATGTGTTGGATTGTAAAGACATTGCAATTACTTAAATAAAGAAACAACTTAACAGGATATTACAAAGGTTATTCTATTCGCATCTGCATCAATTTGAAATACAAACAAAACAAAACAAATTTGGGCCATTGTTGCTAATCAAGTTTACAATCTTATCCTCACATGGCATTGTGTTCACAAAAAAAATACAGAGTTGCTTTGCCTAATGTCCAACCCAACATTGGATCAATAAAAATATAGTATAGGTTCCTAAGTATTAGCTTCTATTAATTTTGTTAAACAACCATTTAATCAAATACATAAATAGATCATTTTTGTGGTTAACAACGATTTGAGCAAATTTATAATCATTTACAAGTAATAGGCTTGACAATATTAAATATTTAGCAATTTACAGCATACGCAACGAAAAAAAATAAAAATATAAAACACTCGTCACTCTGAAGTCATCTTCCCGGCGGATTGGAAATGTAACATAACATATCCGCCTTGTCCATTCAAATTCATCTTCTACAGCTAAAGCTTGACTGCTGGTCAACAATCATATCAGTATGAACTGAAATACATAAAAATCTATTTCGCGACAGCAACAATCTTGCTGTAAACCTCAGAAACCTGATCACCACCAAAGTCTAGCGAAACTGACGACGACAAGATCAACAGCTTGAGAGCACTTACAACCAGGTTGTAAATGCGAAAGAATACACTGGATATCCGCTGTAATGTAGCTAAGAATATGTGAAAAGATTTGAAGCCTGTGCAAATTCTGTCTGAGGGGGCAACTCATCACCACTGTAATCCTCCTGCTCAGACGTGCTGGAGTCCAATATGTAGGGTGCAAAACCTGGAAATTAGGGTGCACTAAAATGAAGGAATTGCCGTCTCCTACCATATGGATACTTGAATTCAACAGAACAGAGCATTCAAGGAAGTCGACAATACAACTTTCAAGGGCTTTTGAAGAGTTTTCTTCTGGCCAGCATCCTTGCAACAGGAGGAGTCAGGGCCACCGTGATGGGAATGCGGACAGGCATTAGAGCTTTGTTACACAGAAATGCCAGAGCCAGGGCTCCTCCGCCTGAAACAGCTGAGTGTATGTGTGATTTCCGATCGTCCTCTGGGATAACTGGTTTAAGTTCCTCGCTAGCGCCCCCCGGTGTACCAGCTTCGTACTTGTGAATATCATCAGCTTCCTCTTTTACCATACTGGAAGTATACAACCCAAACCTTTGCAACACAGCCCCGACGTCCACATTATTCTTAATAGCTGTGTAGCAGCACGTCACCGACACCGCGGAAACTGTCATGTGCACGCCTAGCGCAACTTTCCCATACTTGGCAACCAGCTCCTTGAAACCTGCAACGGACATCACTCCTGTCATATTTATGAACCCTATCACTAGAAACCTTCCAAAAGCCTCGGCACGGAGGCAAAAAACACTCCCTTTTCAAATCTCAATAAAAAAAAAACTCTAACGCAAAAAACGTCAAAGATAGACGCACTCACACATAAAACCCTAACAAAATATCTACTCCAAATCCCCTGAACTGGACTCAAACTCCACTCGGCCTCTACAGCGTTCTCTCCACAACCAGAATCCAGAAACCCACTAAATAGAGACTCGTCTCAGTCCCGAAAACACCTCCACTACGAGCTCGGATTCACAACACCACGACTACGCATCAAAATTGAACTCTCCCTTGACACTGGCTGCCTCTCTCGCTCCCACTCCGCTCTCTAGTAACACTACCAGATCGACCCACACCTATACAGCTGGAGAAAAACGCACGGATGAGCACACAACAGCACCGCATGCATCGAATTGCGAGCTGGAAATGAGAGCTGAGCCTTGAGAAGACAACAAGCAAATCTAGCAAAACCCTGCAACGCCGATCTGCTTGGCACACGTCGAACCTTCTTCGGCCACGGCGACGGCGACGTCGACACTCTTCGTCCATGGCTGCACTTTATTGCCTCTCCTCCGTCGACGTCGGCGCTCTTCGTCCACGGCTGTTCTTTATCGTTCGTCTCCTCTGTCGACCTGGACGACGAACGATGATGCCATGGGAGGATTCATGGCGACGAAATGGCGTAGCGTGGCGTGGGGATTTCCTATGAGATGCAATTAAGAAAAAATATAAAATAATATATAAAATGCATAGATTTCTATTAGAAATATGGAGAATTTAAATTTAAAAATCTTTATTTTAATTACACAAGAAACTACAAAAATTTGTAAAAATGTTGAGATATCACAAATATATATATATTTACTTTAATAATTACCTATATGATTTAGAAGTAGGTAAAAGTAGATTAATTTCATAATATCTTCTAAAAGAGCTTCCTAGAAGCTTCATAGATGTCGCTTTGACTTTATAAAAGTTTGTAGTTGATTGAATGGTTAGAAATTTGGTCAATAAGTTAGTTATATGTCATACGTATCAGTAGCTTGTGGAAAAAGTTAACTATGTAGTACACATATAGAAAACTTGCCTTGTAAGTTAAGACATGTGTCTTGTAAAGTCAATACGTGTTGGAAGTCTATAAGAATTTATTATTCTTATTTTATTTTAGAAATAAGTGGATTACTCTACTTTTATTGTTGTGTTTTGAAGGTTGCAAACAATCCACTTTTAAACAAATAATTTAATTTTCTAATATTGATTTTTTTATTAAAGAAAGAGGTTTACCTTCCTTTGTGGAAATTTTCATTTGACATTAGAGGTTGCAAATTATCCTTTTCCTAATTTGACTTGTGGATTTATTAAGCTATTTGAAATAGAAGAAGAAATCATAGATGTCATACTTGGCATAAATAAGAATAAATTTGTAACTATTGCAGATTTTCACAAGCTTGTTAATACTCTAAGGCTAGAAATTTCACGCATCATCAATACTAAAAATAGAAGCACTATTCCTACACATATAGAAGAAGTCCAAAGTCTATGCCAAAAAGTTGTGCAGTTGAGGAAAGCAAGTAAATTAGCCTTACAACCAAATTCAAGAAGTCTTGCTTCTACAAACACAAAAAAGGAAATAATTAATATGCCCAAGAAGTTTGATGGAATAAGATATAAATTTCAAGGATTTTTGTAATAAGTAAAGCTATATTTAAGGTTGTATCTTTTCTAATATCTTGATGGATTTACTCAAGTTGAATTCATACGTGAACTTTTTTCTAGAAATACTCACTTTTAGTTTGCACCTTTGATGGAAAATAATTTATAATTCTTTTATGATTTAAATTCATTGATAAAAGTATTTATAGCCATATTTTAAAAAAATAATTAAAAAAGAGTAGCATAGACCAAGTTCTTATCTTTATGACAAGAATTACAATCAACCACTATATATGGAATTGAATTGTAAAACCTTGCTTAGAATGTGGATTAAAATAATAAAGTCTTTATCAATTAATTTTGATATGGATTGAAAGCTAACATCAAAGATAATATCAAAGATTTGTTATTAATAATATCAAAAGTAAATTCTTTGGAATAATTTATTACTCAAGCCATTGCCTGCGAAAATCAATTATTTGAAAGGCATCAAGAATAAAGATTTGGTTGAAAAAAAATAAATCAAATAATAATAGCAACTCTTAAGTTTTTAAAACTTATTCAATAAAGTTGAAATCATTGCAAATTAATACAATATATTTTTAACTTTTCATAGAGCAAGAAAAGACTCAACGTTATCAAGAAGATTTATACTTATATTATAGAAAAACTAAGCCCATTGCTTAATATTGTCTAAAGAAGCAAGATAATGACAAAATAGGAGAATAGTTATCAATGAAAATGTGTAAAAAATTGTTGGACAATTATAGTAGCATGGCCCTTATTGTAGATATTGGACGATGCAATTTGAATCATGTGCAATGCCTAGTAAAGATCTTATTCTCTCTTTACATCTCTCACCTTGTTTTACAATAGATGTATATTTAGGACCTAAAAATCACAAAGTCTTTGCATTATTAGATTTGTGCATCTCAGCTTGTTTTATAGACTAAGACTTTGTTAAAAGATAAGAAATATCTTTAATCAAGAAAAATAAATCCATACATGTAGAAATCATAGATGGTTGTTTGTTGTCTTCTAGAGATGTTACCTATGAAACTATTTCTTTAGATGTAGCAATTAAAGATCATAATAGTGTAGTAATATTTGATATAATAGGATCTTCTTTCAATCTATTTATTTTAGGATAATCATAGTTAAAAATATATAATCCTTAAATAAATTAGATTTCTTATAACCTTAATTTTTTTTTATAGTTTAATTTAAAATTTTATTAATCAAGTAAAAATATACAAGTCTAGTACATCCAAATTCTTATTGATAGGTGTGAGAATTTTTATGCATGCGACAAAAGAATAATCATCTTTTGTTATATATACTATGCTTATTTTTGATGGTGAAAAGATATCAAGCAATATTTCTAATTAATATCAAGATTTCTAAGATTTTATTGAAAAGAAAAATGCATATATTCTTTCAAAACATCAATCTTATGATTTTTTCAATTCATCTTTAAGAAAGATCTCAACTGCCATTTGGACCAATCTACAACTTATTACAAAATGAGTTGGCTACATCAAAGTAATATATTGACAAAAACTTGGCTAAGAATTTCATATGACATTCAAAATTTCTATCAAGAGTTGTTATAGACAAGAACTTGATAAAAACAAATAAACAAGTTAGACTTTCTCAAAGAAGTATAACAAAATAGAAATAAAAAAATATGTATATTAAAAAAAAATGGTTATTACTAAAAAAAAAGAAAATTAGAAACTTCTTGAAACTTCTTGAAACTAGACTAGAAGCAAGAAAGGAGTTGACAAAAGTGAAGAAGACTTCACTCTTGCCTCTATATATATTATCTACATAAAAACTACATGGTGACATTCTATAAGACCTCTGAAACTTGTTGATTTTGTACGACATATATCCTAACTTGCAAGACAAGTATTATATATGAATACTTCATAGTTAGCTTGTTTTCTAAGCTACCATTATATGTAGCATGTGATTAATTTTTTGACCAAGTTTTTAACCTACCAATCAACTACAAATACATGTAAAGTCAAAGCAATGTCTATAAAGTTTTTAAAAAGTTTTTTTAGAAGATATTATGAAATTAATCTATTTTTATCTATTTTTTATTTATTTATATTTTTTAGATAATAATTATAGTAAATATATGTTTGTGACATTATCTCTCTTTTCTGGGAAAGGTTCCATGAAGAGCAATAATCACATATTGAGAAAATCTAAGATGCAATAAATTGTACTTGTCGCATATTCTAATCTTTATTCTTTTTAAAGGTAGTTGATAGGTCTCTTCAATTATCAATAATGTTCCATGCCACCGCAAAAAGACCACCCTATTATTTGATCATTTTTAAAACCTTTATAACTTCTTTCAAACAAAACATTTGTAATCCTATTAAAAATTGTTCATACTTCTAACAAAATTACCAAAAATTGAGACTTTCTTCGTAGATTGTAGTATCAAATGTATTGTATCTTATCATTTATTAAAAAAAGAATATTTTTTTTAATGTCTTCATGTCTATTACATCATCTTGAAGGCTATGATAATTACAATATCTTATCTAGTAAGTCAAAAAATGATGGCTCTTGAATTGAATCTAATGGCTATTGATACTTCGTCTCTTTAATACCACAATTATACAAAAACTACAAATAAGAATAGAAGATAGAATATAATCTTTTTTAAATTATATTTCTTTTATAACAAATGTTTGTTATCCTTCATCTTATTTTTGATGGATGTTGTTGATGAAAAGATTTAACCTTCTTTCTTCTCTTTATAAGATTTTTTGTTGGCTCCCATGTATATTGCTAATATTGTATCTATACCAATGAATGAAATATTCCAATATAAGTTGGCATCACCTCAAGTCTAAGACTTTTTTGACATCAAATTCTTGATTATTATCCACTTCTATAAGAGATGGTGGTATTTGTCATATATGATTCTAAAAAAAGAGGTGAAATATAAGATGGATTTTCATAGATTCTAATAGATGTAATTAATAAGCAATTTAATTGATTTGTTTACAAATAGGAAATGGTTTAAATCTACAATAATCCAACTTATCACAAGGGTGAATAGTTTTAATATTACAATAAAGTAATCATACCTTATTACCAACATGAAAATGAGGTTTTTCTTTGCAATAGGCATCTATGTTGTTTTTTTATTGTTCTTAAGCATCTTTTAGTTGAACTTTCATTATTCTATGTAGTTCAAATAAATGATATGTCAAATCTATCATTGCAAGATTATCAACTTTTGAAAAGTCAGAAGCATCAAGTTATGGATGATAACCATAATTAGTAAAGAAAAATATTTATGGCATAGAAAAATGTATCATATTATTATAAGTACACTCTGTCAATAGCAAAAAGGTTATCTAATCATGTTATTGATAGATGATGGTACATTTCAAATATTGCTCTAAGACTTCATTTATACACTTTGTTTGTCTATTAATTTGAGAATGGAAAGCCAAAGATAGTTTTATATCTACTTTTGAAATCTTGAAAAGCGTTCTCCAAAATCTTGATACAAATCAAGTTTCTTTATTTGATGTAAAATTCTTAAGTAATCCATAATAGCAACAGATGTTGATAAGAAAAAACTTAGTTGTTTCTTCACATGTGATAGATTTTGTATACAGTACAAAATGTACCATTTTAATAAATCAATCTACTATCACAAATATAGAATCATAAGAACTTGAGATTAAAAAATCTATAAAAATAAAATATTATGATTTTTTTAGAATAGATAATAGCAAAAAATATTTGTAAGATTGATGACAAAGATTTTTGGATCTTGGGCAAGCATCA